AGTCGACGGGGATCGAACCCACGACCGGCAAGCGAATGCGAATTAGAATATAGACACTCTGTCCGCACGGCTACCTGGCCACCTATTAATCAATGTGTTTCTACACTCCATTCGGTTTTTCTTCCTCAAAAATATTGCAATCAGGGATAGGTTAGTTCGTTGAGGATAAATAGTCTCTGAGTTTTGCCTAAGTAAAGTACTTTGAAGATGAGATATAACGGTGGGCGTGGTAGGTGCTAGCGTACAGTATATTTAGTAAAATCGCATCTGGAAAGGCTTTTTTCCATCAAATAATCTATCAATCTTGAATAATAATGAAATGGGAAATAATTTATTTTTCTACTCACATAACTAAAATGGCATTTAGCGTACGGATATGTACTACGCTAAATGATCGATTTATCACGGATTGTCGATCTGTGAATTATTCAAAATATTAAACACGTTATCATGGCAACACGATTTCTTACAACACAGCTCCAGTAATTTGAGACATGTCTGGCCTGTCAATTGTATTAACTGTCAACTGTTATTTTCGAATTTTGTATCAGAATTATTCAAACAATATTCGTTTGTATCAGAATTCTTCATTAAAAATATATGCGGAAAGTAGACGAGAGTGAAATCGAAGATAATGTTTTGGTACTTGCATATCTCCAAGAACTGTAAAAATGATGCATCCATCTTTGGGAACAATTTATTTATTCTGTGCTAAGCATGACAATAAACGGGAAACAAAGGTTATAGTAAGCAATGGACTGGACACATCTACAAGCAATATCACTTATACGTGTCTCGCTGGTTGCATGCAGTTGCATGTATTATGTTCTCAATTCCCATTCCTTTCGGATAATTTTGTAGGTTAGCAGGAATTGCAGGTATGTTAATGTAATTTTCGGAGTTCGTAGAAAAATCATAGTATGTAACGCGTTTATAAACTCTTCTAGACACTCGTTTATCAAACACTCGCTCCACTCTGCTCCGCTCGTGCTTAAACTACTCGTTACTAAAAGGACGTTTATAACACTTTGTTACATAATATACTATTTTATATAGGTAGGTGCATATTGAAAATAATTTCATTCTTGATTTTATAAGATGAGATAGTATAGGTAAGTTGATTATATATACCAATTTTTCTTTCCTCTTTTCCTCAACTGTGTGAATTACAGTATAAATGTGAATCTTCGCCAATCCATAGACAGGTTCTTGAAGAACCTACATTGAAAAGCATTTGCAATAATATCGAGTGTTTCACACAAATGTACTTACTCTTGTTCGTTGTCGCAAATAAATTTATTATCATTATCATTATCATAACTGTAGGTACTCTAACACCCTCAACAAATTCGCAACGATATAGCAAGTGTCTTTCAACATAAACTTGGTTCTCAGAAAGTTGATCAATCGTGTAAATTATCTCGAAACATGCAGAAACCATCTGCTCTTGGCGGAGACTGTTTGTCAGTTTTATGAGCTGTCAATTTCAATCGAATATCGAAAGCATCGAAATACCTCGTTCTACTCCGATGCTCGGAATGTGGATTCCACCTCTGGAACTCTGGAACGTTAACAGCTATATCTCTGCAGCCTCTCCTTTGATCTTTCACAATTTGAGATCACCATCATCCTCATCATTTTAATTCCCTCTTCATCTTCTATCTCCTTCTTTTCTCTGTCTTTTCATTCCCTTAGCAACTCGTTCATTTTATTTCCACCAACTATCCAAAATATCCCCAGTCTATACAGGGTGCAATATTTCCACTGAACAACCTTACTTCAGTATTTTAGTATACAATACCTAATTCTGCTTATGCGATTGAAAATAAAAGGAGGCGTGAGTATCAGGCGCAGTACAACGTCAACGACTCAATGTATTCACCTACATTATATACAATAGATCTCTTCAGGAGTATCTGAGACCACCCTCAACATGTTTTCATCTGAACCCCTCATTGTAAAGCTGATGGAAAGAGGAATCAAGCGTACTGGTGAAATTTCAGTTTTTAGTAATATTGACGATTGCATAAAATTAAGGAGAACATCGTGAGAACCAAGGAAAATGAGGTAGGAATTGGTATTCTTCTTATATTTCTGGAGGTTATATGCCTCGGGGAACACCTCCCTTGACAATGTGTTCCAGAGCCTCAACTCGACGGGTCAATCTCGCGGGGACTGCCAAAGGAGGTATAATTGTTGATATTCTAGAAGAGCATCGTCCGTGAAAATATCTATAAAGTAGAGCCAGATCGACAACTTTTCTACGGTGTTCCAGAGAAGTGAGACGAATTGCCCTTTTCAGTACAGAATCCAACAGTTTCAGGGTATGATTGGGTGCTGCATTCTGAAATTCAATGTATTTTCAACAATTGCCCAATATGTGAGTTGAACAATTAATTTTTCACCAGCACCGCTATAACTGTTTTACATTGTATATGCCAGTATTTTCATAGAGCCGCAAATAGAAATTAAGTTTGTATGCCGTGTTTATACAGTACGAAATGAAGTGGCATTGCAAACTAGTGGAATTTGCTTATATCAGTGTTACATAAAGTCGAAATGTTTGTTGTAATTACCTATGTTGGAAATTGTTATGAATGAGTTAGTATTGACCAGAAATTGGGTTTATTCAACAAAATACAGAATGACATGTGATATGACATCAATAGATAACTGATCAAAGTAACAGGACAAATGATGAACTTCGGAAATACGGTGAACTAAATATTATATCAGACAAGGAATGATCACATTCTCCCGTGCATTTATAAACAGTCATAGACCTCTAAATACTTTGGAGGTCCTCCAATTCTTTGAGGTCGATTTGTAGATTCAGAGGATGACACCTCAGGAACGGAACTGCTATGCACTCTATAGTTGGAGTTAAGTCATCATCATGTGTTCCAAGTACATCTTCGAATTATCTTTGATGGCAATGCTCTCATTCACTTTTGAATCTGGTTGGTTATCTCTAATTGGAGTGGAATGGTACTCGAAACAATTATGATCAAAATATCCCTCAGTACCTCGTGGTGCAAAATGATTATGTGAAACCGTTGTTTCTCTACCGTCTGGTAACCTAACATAAGAATAATCCAGGTTCGCTTCGAGTAGTTCGACTTCTTCTACAAGTGGCTCATACTTATTTGTTCGAATATGTTTCTTCATTAGGACTGTACCAGGTGATGTCAACCAAGAGGGCATAGTTTGTCCATTGCTGGATTTGCGACTGTGGAAGAACATTCTCTCATGAGGAGATGCATTTGTAGAAGTGCACAAAAGGAATCTTATCGAATGAAGTGCTTCTTGCAACACAGATTCCCATTGGGCGATTTTCATTCCTTCGGAGAGAAGAGCTAACTCAATTGTCCTCCATATGGTACCGTTTTCTCTCACTATTGGCCATTTCCTTATGGATTATATGCCGTAGTGCGACTTGTGGCGATTCCATTCGACTCGAGGAAATGTTTCAATTCAAAGGACATAAACGACGAGCCTCGATCTGAATGGATGTAACAAGTTAAACCAAACACCGAGAACAGCATAGGCAAATGTTTTATGACTGTGGCAGCTGATAGATCAGCACATGGAAATGCAAATGGAAATCTTGAGTATTCATATATCACCGTCAAAAGGTACCGATTGTGAGATATGGATGGCAATGGTCCCTTGAAATCTAAAGCCAATCGTTCGAAAGCTACAGTTGCTTTTATTAATTGGCCTTTATTTTTATAGGAACGAGGCTTAACAACAGCAACTATAGCGCATGGAGATGTAATCCTTCTGATATCATCAATGGAAAATAGAAGATTTTTGAGCGAATCCAGTGTGTCATTCGAGTAATGCCAGGGTGGCATAGAGATTGATGGAGATTGTATAAATCAGATGATTCTTTACCACTCGTACTAGCACAAACTCTTGATAAGGTTGCTACGGCGTTGTCTTTTCCAGGTCGATATACGATGTCTTACTTGAAACTTGATGATTCCAGTCGCCATCTTTGAATTTTGTCGTTCTTGATTTTTCCAGAATGTTCATTATCGAACACAAATGACACGCATTTTTGATCTGTTATCAAACGAAAAGCTCTTCCGATCAGATAGTGCCTCCACGCCTCTGAAGTTACATTCTTTCGATAATTGTTTCAATGCATGCATCTATAGTTTCTCTAACGAAATTTCGAGAATCATCAGATTAGGCACAATATTTCCAGCAACTTCAACAAGGAACTCCTTCACCACTGCTTCCTGAAGATGAAGTACTACTACTATCAAATGAATATACTAACTCCATCATATTGAGGAAATAGTGAAAAGAGCAATAAACAGTTGAATAAACAAAAATATATCATTATGACGTTACGCTGCAACAGTCAGAATCGAAAACTGAATATTGACTAAATGAAATGAGCATGCGCCAAAAATTATCCTAGAACGGTTCATGCTCGAGTGCAGGTACTGGTTTCGGATAGTTCTAGGACCGTCCCAGGATGGTAGTAACAGCCAGGATGATTCTGGAAAAACCCGAACGCGTGAAGAGTCAGTCCTAGAACAGTTCCACGAAACCCGAATGCGACCGATTCTACTGCGCAAATTCCTGACAGTTCTAGAACCGTAATAGTTCGAACCTGAATGAATCTTCAAAGTGGAATGCAATTGTCACAAATAGAGAGAGACTCAAAGTCATTACCACAATAGTTGCTGAACCACTTAGGCGCAGCTTGGCGTTTAGGAAGGAAACACTTGCGATTTCATTCGTCTATACGAATTATTGCATAGATTTCGGGAGGATGTAATCCAATGTGTGTGGCATATAGCCAGAAAAATTGTTGTTTTTCTTTCGTTATCTACCATTTTCGTTCATTTCATGAACTATTGTGGTAATGACTTTGATTTTCTCTCTACTTGTGACCATTGCATTCCACTTTGAACTTTGAGTATTTCTCTTTTTCCTAGTTGATTATTATCATCATTTTTAAGATCCATATGAACTATTTCCAGAGCGAATACGGCCTCTCGGAGGAGCAAGTGGCCGAGTTCAAAGAGGCCTTCATGCTCTTCGACAAGGACGAAGACGGCACCGTCACCGTGGCGGAATTGGGCGTGGTGATGCGCTCCTTGGGCCAGCGCCCCACCGAGACCGAATTGCGCGACATGGTGGACGAAGTGGACAGCGACGGCAACGGCACCATCGAGTTCAACGAGTTCCTGCAGATGATGGCCAGGAAGATGAAAGACGGAGACGGGGAGGAGGAGCTGCGCGAGGCTTTCAGGTTAGATCCTCAATATAGATAACTTATCAACATCCAATTCAACAATATCCAACACATGAACTGACCATTTCATCATCAACCTTAGATGGATTTAGCTAGGGTCCCGTGATGCAAACTGACGTATTTGTCATCTAACAGGGTACGGACAGATCATAGCTCATTTATCTTTTAATCATTATTTGAAAAATATCGGGAACACTCGTTTCATGAATAACGTCGTTCAATGCCTGTCTCAAACTGAGTGGCTGTTAGAATATTTGAGGAAGAGTGCTTACATCAATGATCTAAACAAGAGCTCATCAAGCAAGAAGAGGACTCTGATAAAAGCACTTGCAGATGTTGTAGAGAGGCATTGGTCGAACGATTCGTCTTTCCGAGTCGTCTGTTTGCACGATTTGAAACTTCGGATTCAAAGGTTCGGCACCTCAATTCAGAGGCTCCTCGCAACAGAATGCACAAGAATTTCTTTGTTACCTGCTGGAAGGGCTGCACGAGGACGTCAACATGGTCGTAGATGAACCGAACCCGAACCCAAAGCCAGTTCATGGAAATCGACAAATCATTGAGTTTTAATGTCGAAGCAATGGATTCGTAGTCGAGATCCTTGAGAATGAATAATTCTAAGTTCGTTGATAAGTTTGTCGAACAGTTCAAGTTTACTTTGAGATGCACTTTTTGTGGTAATTTTTCGGAGACATTCAACTCATTTTGGGAGTTGTCTTTACCGATACCACAGCGATCAGGCCAAGTCAGGTTGTCTCATTGCTTGGACTCGTTTACCAGTGTTGAGATTTTAGACGGCGAGGAGAAACCAACTTGATGGATGTGTAAAGAAAATAAAAAATGTTTGAAGTCTTTATGCATCCACAAGTTCCCTGAAATTTTGGTTATACATCTGAATTGTTTCTCGCAGACTGAAGACTTCAGTGAGAAACTAAACACAATTGTCGACTTCCCCTTGATCGGCTTGGACATGAGCCTTCACGCAGCTGAAGACATCGTTCCATGTGTAATGAAGTGTTTTTGACCAGCTTCATTACTAGACTGGTTTCGATCAAAATCCAAGTACCTGAGCCCGATTCTAGTTGAATTTCACCTGTTTCAAGCTCTAAACCTGAAAACCTGAGAGAGCTGAGTAATGCATTGATTCCTGACTTCCCAAAGCTTTTCCTGATAGAGAACTCTCATGAACATCATAACAACCCTAAAGACTTCCATATTTTCCAACCCTTTGCTTATGATATAAAATTAGATGAATTATCTATCTGTTGAAATGCTTGATGTTTGACGGCTCATAGCTTTGTCGTTATTGAATATTTTCCAGCCAAATTTTTTCAGTAGCATGAGCAGAGGTAGTAGATCCTGTTCCTGTGCCCATTTAGGGTTCAATATTATTTTTTCTGCATTTTGTGTTGGAGATGCACATTCGCTTTCCAAGGACAGATTCAGTGGCCATGGCCATGAGCCATGACAAGGTGGGAGTTTTGACCAATGAGATTCCAGATTTAATTGTCCTTGTGCCAAGGCCAAAGCAGTGTATAAATACTGAAGACATCTGAGGATTCTGGAATCTCTTCTCTACAAGTCTGCACTACCTGCTCGACCTGCTCTTCAAGCTCTTGATTCTCTTGCTGATCTCTTAGTGCTCTCATAGTTCATTCAAAACCAGTGTAAAGTATTATTGTATAGTGATTTCCTGTTACATATGTAAGTTTGTATATTTTTCACCATTGTTATTCATCCTGTTCATAGATTCATTTCATTCTTGTTGTTTTGCATACCGATACGCACCCGACCTGTGTGAAGAATCCAGAACTTTGAATTTGCGAATAAACGGTTTTTTGTGATTGCATATTCCATATTTATTTCTTTGTTGTCATTATTTTCAGTCCCGAATAGTTGCAACAATCTATTTGAAAACTTTCAATATTTTCATTTGTCAAAATTGCAGATTATTATTACGACTGACACTGACAAGCCAGTTGTAAATTCTTCATCTTCTTTTCCTCGAGTAATCCTGTCCTGTGCATCCGGGTCTCTGTGCTTTGTGTCCCGTCAGGCAGTGATCTATGCTTCATGAAATTTTGACATGAATGCATGAATGGAAAATATAATTAACCTCACTAAAATCCCGAGATCAAAAAATAAGAAAACCGAAGGAAGAAGAAAGATAAATAAGCATTGAATCTGTTTAATTTGTTTGGAACTGTGTTTTCGATCCTTCAGGTAGATATAATGAAATAGTTTAAATAAATACCAGAGAGTCCCGAAAGATATTTGTTTTGATTCCTGTAATTATCCAGACTAGAAATAGCAACCAGTATTCCAGGCTAAACCCAGGGTTTGTAATTGGAGCCTACACTCCCTTGGCTACTTATTGATTCCAGGTCGATTCAATACCATTGACCCCTGGTTTATACTGTAGGTACCGAGGTAGGTATACCTCCTGCTCTGCACAAAAATATTTTGTGCAGAGCAGGTAGAGTAAACTACCTCAAAAACAATCTGGCGCTCGAGAATCCCCCCCCTGTCAAATACCAGAGTAGTCTCCTGTCCTGAACAGAGCGTCAAAGTAAGGGCTACAGAAGTCACCTTACACATGTCCTTACAATCTGTACGCTATCTCAAATCACAGCGGTACCACCTACAGCGGCCACTACACAGCCTACTCTGCAGACATCTATTTACGAAAATTTGGCACGAGTACAATGATCCTCTTGTTTCTTCAATTTCGTCGAATTCTCTCGTCAGTGGGAATGCTTATATTCTTTTTTACCTACAAGAGGCTCACCCCAAATACGAACAACGTGATGGCATATACGTATTAATAAACAATACGGATCATAACGGGTGCCAGGATGAAGCCCAAAATATGAAACAAATGAATATCCATAAGGATTTGTTGGCATGATACGCATGCGCCATGCGCTATTATAGTAGTCATCAAAGACATGCCTTTCGGTGGACAATGACGTTTACTAGCCTTTCAATCAAAGCAGTATGTGTCTGATCGTTTCAAAACTTTTCCTTATGGATAGTCATTTGTCTTCAAAAATCGGCTTCATGTTTCGCTATGGAAACAGATATAGAGATTATCCGTATTGATTATTAATACGTATATGCGTGATGGTGACTCTGTGAAGGGCTACTGCTCCGTAGCTGATCCCGATATAGCACCCTTCGTACTGTCCACTATTCCGCTGATAACCACGACATGTTCAACACAGTCCTGGAGAAGCAAGAAACTCCAGTCTACCCAGCTCCAGCTGCACACTCTGCTGCCCCAGTACAGAATGTACACTCTGCCCGAATACAGAATGTATACTCTGCCCCAGTACACAATGTATACTCTGCTCCATCTCATTTGTGGAGTGAATGAAGTGGAAATCCATTATTTATTTATATGTTTATTCAATTTGAAATAAAAAGTCAATCAATCATAAAAAAAACAGAAACGATCTAGTGACTTTGGTTTCGTGTATTGGCGTCCCTGGCATGACATTGCTGTCACGTCACAATCATAGTCGTTAAGGGAGATCTTACAAAATTTCAATCTCATACTTGATCTTGATACGACATTATTCAATTATGTTTTGGGAGGATGGTGAAATGTGCTGCGTTAGGCTGTATAAATCAGTTGGGTGGCAAGTTCGCAATTGTCAGCTTTCCATCAAATGCAAATGAACTTAGAACATGGAAAGTGAAGTGTCCGAATGGGGAAAATTGGTAAATACATCAGCATAATATTCGAGGTAATTTTAGTAAGAAATCACATATTATAAATTCTCATTGTGCCTATAATTATCCACTCCACAAGTTTTTGAATGCATTTTAGTCGAAACAGTTTTGATTGAAACGAAGGATTGAAAGAAGAGGCACATGCCCTACCATTGAAAAATGTATACCTACATTCGAGAAATATTAAGTGTTCGTGAAACACTGCGAAAATGATTGCCACGATGAATATATACAGCACACATGACAGATGAGCACATGAGTTTAAATACCTATTCCAATGTTAAGCAAATCGACAAATCCTCGTATCGTCCTTAGAAACGGAAGTTTTACAATTGACTTCGCATAAACTATACATCATTATATATTGGTCGTTATGGTGGTTGTTCTTGTTGTTGAGTACTCTGTTTGTTTTCAATTCGGTGAATCGTTTGATCGCAATTTGATTCTTTGGATATGAGTAGAGTTGAAAAAAATCTTCAATGTGGTGGATTTCGTTATTGAAAGTTTGTTGGTTAATGATATTGATTTGGCTCGATCATGAAGTGTATTAATTATTCCTTTTTTGATAGTTTTCTGATGATTTGATTGAAAATTGAGGTATCTGTTAGTATGAGACTTTTAACGATTTACACTCGTTACGAAAACATTGTTTGATTCTTTGATAAGATTTGAAAATGGACAATATATGGCAGAGCCTTTCAGTAGTGTAGTTGTTTTCTTACCAAACGAGGTATAGACATTTATATTGAGTTTCTTATAAGACAAACAAATATAAAAAATTCTCACTCTGCTGTGATCCGTTTATCCTCTAATGTTTTTTGAACGTTGCAAACCATGTACTCCCAGCAGCTATTTTATCAATTATTGATACCCTGCGAAATTTGGCAAGAAACTGTGCCAATAAATTCTGTGCTAGTAGTAGTTTTTTCCATTATTTATATGATCATTAACGACCCAATGCATCAACATACTATGATCAACACCCACATGACCCAACTCATCAAGGATCCAACCAATTGATGCACCCATTTTCATCAAAATCCAACTCACTTACGAATCGACCCATCAACTACAACTATTTATCAAACTATTGGGACTATTATCATCACCCAACTCACCAACGACCCAAAGGATCATCAACCCACCCAACCAACCCATCAACGATCAAATTCATCAACATACCAGCTCATCAATCCGATTGAATGATATATACCTTACATATCGATACCCAAACTCTTTCAATTCATGAACACCAGACCCATCAATTCATGAACACCGAACCCATTAATTCATGAACACAGAACTCATGTACGGCTCAAATCAGCGACGACCCAACTCATCAACGACCTAATTCATCAACATCAACAACATCAACTATTACAGACCCTTCAACACTCAGCTCTACTGGGATGAAATAGTCTTGACTAACTGTAAGGAAGGCACGTTAGTGTGGTACACTGACGGTTCTAAGACTGATGAGGGCACGGGAGCCGGAATATATGGAGATAGACCCAGAACCAGGATGTGTGCTGCCTTGGGGAGGTATGCTCCAGTATTCCAGGCAGAGGTGCATGCTATTGAGGCATGCCTGAGAGAGAATATTGTAAGAGGATACAGAGGTAAACAAATCCTCATATGCTCAGATAGTCAGGCGGCCATTCAATCTTTCACATGCAATAAAATCAGATCAAAACTGGTCTGGGATTGCCTTCAAAGCCTGCTAACCCTGGCTAACCACAACAAGGTAACTCTTCAATGGGTGCCAGGGCATAATAAGGGATTTGAAGGCAATGAAGCAGCTGACGCTCTTGCCAGGCAAGGGTCTGCGACGTTGTTTATGGGACCGGAACCTGTGTTCGGTATCCCCAAAACCTCAATACGGGGCTGGCTGGCAAGGTGGATGCAAGAAAGACATCAGGCATACTGGAACAATGTCCCAGGACAAAGGCACAGTGAACTGATGATTGGAACACTGTCCGCGTTGGAGGTACAACCTTCTGGGAGCAGTAAACAAAGAATGATTTTTTGAAGAGGCTGCTGAACCTCATCAAGGTAGCGAACCTGTTCACCTAAGTCAACAGCATGATCAGGAATACAATAGGCCCAAAGGCTGCAGTGTTTTGTGCTTCAAACCCTGACTGATCATTGTGATATTGATCAATCAATCAATAATCAACTCATCAACGGCCTAACTCATCAACGACTTAACTCATAAGCGACTCACTCATCGATTCAAGTATTGATGTTCATACTCATCAATTATTCATATCATCAACTCAGCGATTCAATTTACACTCAACTCATCAACGATCGAACTCGTTCGCTACCCAATACATCAACTCGCCCATTTCAGCAATACCCACCTTATCAATGACCAAATTCATCAACGTGTCCATTTCATCAACACCCGACTTGTCAACGATATATCTGATCAACAATACATCTGATCAACAATACATCTGATCAACAATACATCTGATCAACAATAGAACTCATTAACCATTCAACTTATCAACGACCCAACTCATCAACATCCAACTACGTTAATAGATGACATATAGGTGAGTCTGAATAACATTCATGAAATGGCTTCATTTCATTCGTTTTGGATTTATAATAATTCATTGTGTTCGAGATCCTACCTTGGTGGCTTGATGCCAGAAATAAATATCGAGATGACGTTCACTGATATCCTCGATGTTCGATCAGGTCTCAAGCTTCTTGGTTTACTATCTGAATGAAATTGAAGGAAATGACTTATGATCATTTCATTCACTATACTTCTGATGCTGCCGAGGTGAAAAAATGTAGCCTCATTTGATTCCTATGTTGATATGCCATTAGATGTATATGCAGCTCAACGTCTGTTAATTATTAATTTGATTCCGAATTTCAAATCATCATATTGGGGAGCATCCACATAATGGCTCTAAGAATAAACATTCTAAATCGCATTATATTTTCTATGTGTGGAAAATTATCTCAAAACGACTCGTAGCACATGAGAGGAAGAATTATGGAATCCCTGGAAATAGTATCCGTCTGCAACTAATTCATGGCATTGAAAATTGACAGAGTATTTCATCAAAACAGTCAAAAATCATGAAGATCACGTAATCTGACGTCACTGATTCGATTTTTGTGAACCAGTAGGAGCATTAATCTCTTGCTCAAGTCGAACAAACAGAAAGCTTGATTTACTGTCCAACACAAACGAACACAAAGCAGTGGCACAAATCATTACATAATTTGATTTGATTTGGTTTTGATTGAAGGTTTCAATCGTTGATGTTGATCTAGAAAAAATAATAAAGTGAATAAAATGAAAAATCCGTTGGCATTATTCGAGTATGATGTCCGAATTCGTGTCTATTACCGCGGCAATGTTAACAATTCTACACTTTTTTTGCCATATTTATACATTATTGTTGCATGTCTCCATTTTCTTTGTTTCAATTTGTCATCCAATTCGATCAATCTGATTTGAGTTTTAACTCCCTAAAAATTCGCGAAGCAAATAATTCTTGCATCAAGTGATCTATGGCAACTTGTTCCTGTCAAAACAACACTCAATCATCTATTGCTCGGGACAAACGAACAATTATTGCTCACATCACTTTTTAGCAGAGTGAGCATGACAAACGAACAGACCTTTTGTGTTCAATAAAATCACTTGTTTCTGTTCAGGGTTTTTGATAAAAACAATGACGGCCTGATATCGTCAACGGAACTGCGCCACGTGATGACTAGCCTTGGTGAGCGGCTGACTGAAGAAGAAGTTGATGATATGATCAAGGAGGCTGATCTGGATGGAGATGGCGAAGTGAATTATGAAGGTATGTACACTTGTTTATAGATTCTTCCAATATTATATCATGTTACTTCCAATCATTTTCGATCAATCATCAATGATTGAGTGGATTTCTGAATCGTTTCCTGTCATCATGGAGTACTCTATGTTCATCAGTGCTATTTAGTAAATTTGTACATTTGTCTTCGCGCAAACGAATAAAATGTTGTATTCCAAGATTGGAACGAAAGAGAGAAAAAAGGACTAAAGAGTGATCATATTCCGTGAGATCCAAAACAATGATGCATAGATGATTGAAAAAATACTTCATGTATAATAAGGAAGAAGGTGAAATGTAGCAAGGAAGTTCGACCCTATGTATTTTTTTGCATAATGTCCTGTACAGAAATCATGATTGCAACTTGAAACAAAAAATTTTGATGGATCCTATGTTAATATAACATACTTGATGAGTGGCCGCGTTGAATTTCAGTTCTAATTCTTGCACAGAACGTTTACAGAGAGGGCACCTTTTTGTTTTTTATCGACATTCGATATCATAATATGAGTATTTCCATTTTCTCTCCTTTCCTTCATATTATAGTTGAATATTGTGTGAAGATTATCACTAGTTCTTTAAAAATGATGGATACTGGGTACCTGCTTCTATATATTTCGATCTCTACCTATACAGTTCCAAATATACGAATAGAAGAAGTAAATTGCAAATATAACAGTTTTAGGGTTTATCTTTTCGCGCTCCTTGAATAACCGAATGCGTATCGCAAAATGCACGCAAAAACAGAATCAGTATTTTTAAATGGAACTACCTGTATATTTTCAACTGTGTTGAAAGATATTCTTATTATGTCCCTATATAGCTTGCAAAAGTTTCCTCAAGTCGTTCCAGATTGAATTATGGCTGCGCTACGGAAATATTTGCAATACTTTTATAATATAATCTTACTATTTCGTATTTTCTCTCTACAGTTCAACCCATTCCAATTGTTGTTTTGTTTCCATGGCGTTCCTGTTGTGTCCACAGCCATCTAAATGTTATTGGCAACTTTGATTCAATGCTGAATAAGTGAACAATAATAATAATACTGATGACTACAACAATGACAATATCAATCATGATGATAATAATACTAATAATGATAATTACAATACTAAGAAGAGCAATAGTAACAATAGTAGTACCTAATAATTACCGTTTTGGTGGCTTCAATCTGGGAAGAGATCATGGATCATGAATCACTGCCTGTCGAAAATGATGTCCTTGAGCTCAATTTTGAAGAATATCAGATACTCAAGCTTCATATGATCACTGTAACTGCTGTACAATTTGGCGGCTCGATATGAGAATGATCGTTCATACAGCGTTGAAAAGTATTTTCGAATAGTAAGAGTGTCAGTGTCGGTGATCTGCAGATGTCTGCTGTTTATTTGATTACTAGGATTACTTTAGGATGCTTTAGGCAAAAAACATACCTGATGGAGTTGTCGTCTGTTATACATTTTGAGCCATTCAATTTCAGTAAGGAAAGGAGTGACATGTGTTCTACTTTTAATGCCAAAGATTAGACGTATACAGGAGTTTTGGACTTTTTGTTTTCGTGTCAATGTTGCTAGACAAGGGCAAATGGCTTGAGAAAACATAAGCAAATTATATATTTGTGAACAGAAGAAGGAGACCTTCAAATGAAGTTGAAAATTTACAGGGCGTTTCATTAAAAAAACTGATTTGGACTCTGTTCAATCACTTTGAGATTCACATCTATTCGTTCATGAAGTGCTAAAGGATAGAACACATGAAATCCTACAACTATCATATTCGATGTTTTTTTCCACTCGTATAGTTAAAGCTGTAAGTAGTATTCAAAATATACGGGGACAATTCGACAATCATCGACAGTAGTACCAGTGAAAATTTCCAGAGAACAATAATAATCTAAATTTTTTCCTGTGATGAGTGGCACGACTATACACATAGCTTCTTTTGATTATTGACGATACTTCGTCCATACCACCACAAGATAAAAACTTGATAGCATGAGTCATACCTGAGTCGGTAAGCCATATGATGAGTTCCAATACTTTTAAAATTTCTAGCGCTATAATTAGAGTCTCCATATTGTTCGATGAAAATTGTTATTCACTTTGTCCATATAGCCAATTTCTCCCCCCTATTGAACTTCTGAACTGCTCGGATTTTTTTAACCATTTTTTTTGCTTCAATGGTGGTTACAGTGCTACATTGTGATTAAAAAATAAAGACTTCCTCAAATGGAGTGAGGAGTCGAAGAATACCTTCATTGAAAGATCTCTCAATAATCTATACAACCTCAGAAATTCAAACAAAAATATTCATCTAAAACGAAATGGCGGATGATAATGTTTGAAATCTCACATCAGGATCCTCTCGACTAGATGGCTATTATTGATGTGCTCTCATAAGATAGTCAACTCTCTATTGGCATCTAGAAATGTTCTCTATCCATGAAGATATCAAAAAGAAGCCATTTTGAAGAAAATAACATGGTGCTGAATTATACCTTTGCTCAATTATCTCTCAAAATTCTGCAAAATTTTGGAAATATCCATTCAAAATGAAGAACAATGTTCATTTGACATAAATGAATGAAAATCAAATGGACACGATTCTGAATTTCGCTCCAATCCAAATTTTCGTATCCTCGATATTTGAAATTCGGGCAAGTGGATCTTTAGTTGATCTTCGATGGCGAATCAATAATGACTACTGAGTTTTCCATGATACTGGCGTATTATTCATTATATTCAATCATACTCGACCTCCACAGTATTTTTGTATTGATGCCATTCGAAAAACCACTTAATCGTAATATTTGTATCATGACAAGAAGTTGAATTAAGTCTAAATCACACCACTGAGTTGAGTGAGTAGGTAGATACAAGAAGCACACAATAATAATTCTCATTGTTCCCAAAAATGAAATGATCTATACAGAGTTGTCACATTTCCTTTTCAATGAAGGTTTGTGTTGAACGGGTTCAACATATTATATGATTCTGATGTAAGATCGTCTTCTGAACGACTGATCTACAACATATATCGAATATAAAGAAGTACCATCGGCAAATCGATCTCCAGATGACCTACACAGTGAAAAAAAAAATAACACCAGTTTACACCAGCTAACACCCTTGGGTGTCTCCTGAGGTACTGATTATTTCAGTGAGAATCAACACTGATATTTTTGACACCATCATAGGGTGTCATTCGTTCTTACAAACAGTCATCAAGAACAACACTAGAGTCCCTAGTGCTAATGTGATCAGTTCGTGTTATTCAACACCAAAGTGATACAATCATTTGGTGATTATTTTGACACTGTATCTGTTGAGTTTTTCCTTCTACTGATAATATCCCAATATTTTTGAATATTACTTATTGAGTGTTATCACGCTGGGAAGCGGTGCTTTATTGTCTGCATCTGAGAGTTGAATAACACGACTCTGATATACTGACATTAGTATTCAGTATATGAAATGACCCATTGTAGTGAGAGTTAAGACTTCACAAAACATTTCTGAGCTGATACTATTTGAAGGCTGTCGAGAGTCGAGCGTCGAAGGAGCGCTAGTGTCGCCATCTATCAATATATTTACCCAATATTTTTCTGTGCACAAGATCTATACTTTGGTATAAAACTTCATGTTTCAATCTTGGTCGTAATAAGTACTTTATATAGCTTCGCAATTTCAGAATCATCATATATAATTGATGAATCAACTTATAAAATTTCTTTAATGCATTTTTTCACGGAATCATCCGTTCCTATTGCCTATCAATGTGGATACCAGAATTCGTAGATAATGATTAACCTACACAATTTTTATACATTTTTATTGATTTTCTTTATTACCCCAAGAAACATTTCTGTTAATGATAGGGGTACATGAATACATATAAAAAAATAATGAAGGGTTAACTAATGAATTCCACTCAGTGAAAGTCATATTTCATTTCTGAGTAATCAAATCATGCCACATATTTTTCATTCAAATTGTCCTAAGCAAGTATTTTTCAAGATTGATATTAAATCTTCCTGCATAATGTAACTTTTCAACTCATTTGGTAATGAATTGTATAAAATTATTCCATTGTGAAAAACAGATTGTTTGCCAATGTTTGACTTGAATGTATTTGCAATCAAGTAATCCAATTGTCTAGTCTCATCATTATGGACCGTATTTGACTTCATTGAAAGGTAAATTTGATATTTTTCAAGTTCAGATTCTTCAGGGGGTAATTTCAACATCAGCAATATTTTTTATTCACATGGGAAAACGCAAGACGATGGATGAATTAAATTAGCCCCAAATCTCATGATTAATACACGGTTTTGGTTTATTTGTCATTGGTCAGGGTGTTACTAAGTGTCAATTATATTTAATAAGTGTATTTTTTGCATTAACTTGAATGATACCACTATACCGAAAGTGATTACTTTTTATCCTTCTGGTGTTTCTTTCGAATGGATCGTTCAGAACCACTCTAAATTACCACATCCGTGTGATCTTTCACTATGAAGGTGTGAATTGACACCACTGTACACGGTATCATCAAATTTCTAATAATATCGATATAATATTGCTAATCAGGTGTTGATTCGATCGCAGTTATTTCTGGAATCCACTCGATCGAAATAACTTCCAAATATTTTTCACTGTGTAGTGTAACTGAAGCAGGAATGGTCTGTCGTGCATCAGCTGACTAACAACCTACTGTAATCCACTATAATCTCTTAGTACTGAGATTTTCTTCAACTAGATAAAATATATGGTATTCAAATAATCAATTATTGGATTTTTTATTGAAATTCAAGCAAAAACGAATAAATATAATGTAACATTCATAGTGGTATGGCTCCCTTGATCTTCACCATTTTCCTTCTCCTTCCCATCTTCCATCGTTCCATTTACCGTCGTCCCACCTTCCATCATCCCACCTGCCATCGTCCCACCTTCCATCATCCCATCTTCCGTCATCCCATCTCCCGTCACCAGACACTCCAACTGCGATTCCGCCAAGTCCAACTCCGCCAAGTCCAACTCTGCCGAGTCCAACTCCACCAAGCCCAGCTCCGGCGAGTCCAAGATTTCCAATGCCAACGCCAGCAACAACTGGTGCAGCCACTACAGCTGGAGCAACAGCAACAGCGACACCTCTTCCATTGTGGCCGGTTGGTCCGACAGCACCAAGTCCAGTTACAATTCCTGAAGAAAAAAAGGACAAGAAGTATTTATCATTGATTCAGTGAACTTCATTGCAATATTTATAGTTCAATCTTCTACTTCAGTTTCTAGTGGAAGATTTTGTTTGAATACCACCAACCAATGGGCCTTTTCAGTATCTCAAAATTAAAGGGAGGTCAAAAACATTATTCTGACAACAAATGAATTATCTAATATTGAGAATTCTATTTCAATATCTGTGAATTCGAACGCTACTGAGCTGATGTGAAGTCAGTGTCTCCTTGTAATTAGATTGGTTGGAGTTTGTGACGTCTGGGAAGCACACCACTGTTGCCAGCAGGTCTCTAAATAAAATCGTTGAGTTGATCTTATGCGCAAGATGGTGCGGGGAATACCATGATTCAAACTAACTTTGTACTAGGTGATTAGTTGATTTGTATTTCACGCCTGATCACATTCAATTCACTATGAGCTTTGAAATATTTCATTAGTTTCACGATAAGCTAGGATAAAATGTCTTGCAGGCATCTTACTATAAGACGCTTTTTATATGGTTTGGTTTGGTTCGAGTAACGATGTTAGGATTTCGTTGACTAATTGTAAAAATTAACAAATTGAACAGTGTTACTATATCTCAAGTACTCATCCCCCAGAAATGTTATTGCTAATGCAGCAACTATGTTGATGTAACAGGCGCTCACACAATGTTATCAAGTTGGAATACTTATTCTCCGCATAACTTCACTGGTCTCATTTCTCATGATTATTGAAAAGAAGACAGTGATGCTTGTGCTGAAATCCATAAACACATTTCTCGGCCATGTCTAATCGTTTGACTCCGTTCTTATTAGAATCAAATGTGACACTTTGTTCGACAAGCGAATGTTTGCGAGTCAAACAGAGTCACTTTTGATCCGAATGCTATTTTTCCCGCGATCAAAATAATTGATATTCAATTAATGAATTATATGGGTGAAGTTACCAATATTTCAACTCACATGAAGATGCCATTGTCAAAGCAGCTATCATATCAGAGCTGTTATCTGATACACTTCAATCCCCTAGGAGTTGAACTCCCACTTTAGCTTCAAGACACTAAAAGTGTTGCCAAGCAACTACATACTGATCAATTTATTGAGTCAGCAAGAGAAACGTCAACTTCAAGACCTAATTTTGGAACAAAAATGAATGACTTTCGAGTCGATTGCAGAAAAAAGGATTTCAGAGTATTCCAGACCCATATATTCCGATGGGTTGTATTTCTAGAAATAATTGGAAAGGCTTATTGACCTAATCATGGAAGTATAATAGTTTCGAGTAATTCATGACCCATTTTTATACCTGATGGTCCTCTAGCTCCAGCACCATTCACGACTCCAGAAGGTCCAGCAGCTCCGGCTCCAGTAACAACTCCTGACGGACCGATATCACCAGCAGGCCATGGTTTGACTGCTACAGCGATAGCTTTGCCTCCCCATCCACCTACACCACCCCATCCACCTGCACCACCCCATCCACCAAGACCCAGTCCATTGACACGGCCCAATCCCAATCCACCGATGTTGCCCAATCCACCTACTCCCACACCAACGGCTCCCAACTCCCCGATGCCTCCCCAACCGCCAGCGTGGGCGCTGATGGCGAATGTGGCAAAGAGCGATATGTACTGAAAAACAAAAAACATTTAACGCATGAAACAACTCGGTTGATGATAGTATCTCAGCGAATATCAAATCTCTGGACGCCTCCTGGCCCAGTACATGATTGATCGGCAGATTGGTGGACATGGCCAAGCTACACTGGTCCAACGTTCGCCCATTGTATAGCATATTGTAGTCTTTTGCCTATTATTCATCCGGCACTGGACCAATAGTGTCAATTTTTATTATGATTCCACCTATGTCACCTACGTCTACTCATTATATATATATTTCATGTTCTGTTTCTCACGAAAAGGGGTATCCTGTGATGTTCAGAGAACATCGTGAGAACCACGGGAAATAAGGTAGGAATTGATGTTCTTCTTGAATTTATGGAGGTTATATGCCATGGGGAACACCTCCCGTGGCAATGTGTTCCAGAGGTCCGCTGTTCGTTGGATGAACGAGTCTGTGGAAAGAGATGTTCTGCAGGTCTCCAAGGAAAAAAAGTGCAAAAGATAGGCAACACTTGGTGGGAGAAGAAACAACAAATCGACGGAGTCAACAAACAGAAGCCAGCCGCACAATTATTATTGTGGTTTGGGTCGGATATCACGCAGGTAGCTAGAGCTGCCTCGTGGTGACGTTAATTGTAGCACTGAAAATGCAGGGTCTAGTTTCTTGAAAAGTGTAATATAGATTCAAAGAAACTGTTTTGGCTAATTCATGAAACTAGCACTAGAAATGTATATAGATCATGATTACGAATATCTTCATTGCCGATGATGGTACCTCAGAACAAAAAAGTAGGTATTATTGTGAACTCTGGATTCCTTCTATAGATACTGTAGGTAGGTACAGTTTTCGAATTCGAAATATTTCTTGAATCAAATGAATACTCCAGATGAATTATCTTCTACATTAGATTGATTAACTGTATGGGTTGTCCAAATTGGGGAGAAAAGTCCTATTCACGAACTAGATAGAAGTAAACTGATATAGATGCCTGAGGGTTCAACTCATGATCGACAAATTCAATGGTGAAAACCGCTTTCTCGATATATTATATCTCCGTATTAGAAATAAGATGTTTTTAGAAAATGTGCATTTTTGAAAAGTGGCGAGTAATAATGTTATTAAAAAGTTTTTTATCCTCGTGGAAACATTTTCAGAGCATTGAGTTTGTGACAAAAGTTGATCACCAGGTACTGAAATCAGTCTTCCTATAATTACATATAGTTCAATATCATAACTTATTCTTGTTTGAGTAGTATCATTTCCGAACTAGATATACCCAAACGATGAATGATTTCAATGTCTGACGATCACTTTACATGACAAGAACAATGCTTTGGAGATGTTTGCATCAAAAATAGTTATTTGTTTAACTAGGCAGCAAAGTAGTAGATTGACTGTCGAGGCTGAATTCATAGCCGAGCGTAGCGAGGCTAGGATTTCAGCTGAGGCAGCCAAACAACTTTGCTGCCGAGTTGAACATATAATTTTTTCTCCGATTGTTCATAATGTTATAGGAGGTTATTGTATTTGCGAATTATTACAATTCCCACAATCTCTTCATTTTTCCTGTGGTGTTCAATTAAAATAAAATTTGATAGAAATCGCAGTTGTTGGAATCGTGTTGGTTGCTATGGAAATGTCCATAATAATTATAGTTTGACAATTCATGAAATTTCTGACAGTTGTGCGAGAAAATATCGGTATATTTGAATTATTATATAATGGACAGTGATAGCGACCTGAAAGTACCTACTCCTTCAGAAATAAGGGGGGTGGCAAAAAATATAGAGTTGAATTTGTTGCCGGAGAAGTCTCGGATGAAATATAAAGGAAATTATAAACGATTTATGGATTATTTATTTTGCTGACACATATCAATCAGCAAAGTACCCACTTTGCTGCCTAGGCAGGAAAAGTAATACTTTGCTGATTGATATGTGTCAGCAGAATTAATATTTGATGCTAATCGGAGAAAAACAATTTTTACAAACTTTACGTTACCACGATACCTTGCACAAAACAATGCGCGAAGTAAAACAGTGCGCATTTTTATGTGAAATATACGAGTTATTTGTATTTCAACTTCATGGTCCTCAATCGAGAAAACATCCACGAAATCATTTATCTCTGAATTCTCAACAATAACTCTGTTTTATCTCTTGGAGCGCACGAAAGGAGATTCCTATTATGTTCGTGGAACATCGTGCGTATACCTAGGGCACAGATTAGGGGGAGGCCTTTTAAGCCAGTTCAACACTATTTTTCATATCAAGCTAAGCATATTTTTACTTCAGAACTATATTTTTTGACGTTTGTAGAAAACATTGTTTGCAACTCGAGCGCGAAATACTTTGGTGATCGAGATCTGATTTTTTTTTAACGAGGCGCCGTAGCCGCTTTCTAGAAACAGAAATAACTAATTTTGAGTTGAAAAATCACCGAATCTAGCAATATTGTTCCATTTTGACAGCTTTACTTATATCAACAAATTAATTCTGAATCAGTAATTGAAACATCGAATCTGCGTATTCATCCTATTGAATATTGACTTTATCTCTTGAGGTCCTCGTGCTCTTTGAATAATTATTTATCATTCATAGATAACGAGCGAGCTGAATATATCTACCTGTTATAGAATACCTAATACGTTATATTCTTTTGATCTTGTTCTATGAAGAATGTTACTCACCAGGCAGTTCATGCTGTTGGTTGTTGTCTTTGGCGAAGTGTTATGATTAATATATCGAAATGAAGGTTTAGTTCGATTTATATATAATCAGCTAGACCTTCAAAGTAGCAAGGAATATCTATATTGGTCACAAAGTGGTGCATTTCGTAAGACCACCCAATTCAATCACATGCACCGAGTATCCAGGAAACAAATAGAATTTCATGGTGAAATGTAATGATATTCAAAAGTTTTATTTTGTGTAACTTGTACCTGTTTGTACCAATACTATAAGCGATTTGATTATTTCATCATAACGGTAGGATTGCAAAGTTGAGGACTAAAATAGAAATTCCAATAGTGGGAAATTGGTTGTAGCTTCTTGAAATTTCTGAAAATAAATTAACAGACAATAGTCCCCAGGTACCCATTATGTGATTTAGAATAATATACAGTCTGTCCAAGATAAGGTTGCACAGCATGGGGATCTCGGAAACGGTAGGAGATACGAAGTCGGTTGAATAAAGAAAAAGTTGCACATTCTGAGGCTCATACCAACAGCCTTCGAAAATTTTCGAAATTATTTTTAGTATTTTAGTTATATCAAAAAAAGTGAATTTTTGGAATATCTATTTTTTTTTCGTTATAATTAGAGATACAGAAAAACTAAGAATACTTTTTTGTAGCAACTTTTGATGACGTTCAACGTGGTGATACCGATTTTTTTATGCGACGTTTCGTATTCATAAAACCATCATCAACTTTTGTTTTTTAAGTACAGTAATTTTTCCACAGATTCTGGAAGCTTTTTCCATTCTGAATTGATCATGTATTATATTAGGTGATTCGAGTATGCTTCGACATATTCCTATCTAGCATCAATGTTTTTTCGATATTACAGAAGAAAAATGACATCAGCTCCACTCATTTCTGATCATTTAGTATTAAACATTAGTTATTCGATACTGAGAAATGGATAAAAACTCTTTACTAAATTATGTAGCATGTCAGCATAATATATCGAATTGTTCCTCATTTGGGAAGTTTTGCATTATCAAACATCTTGATAGAATATTGGTATTGATATTGGTATTGGTATTGGTATTGGTATTGGTATTGGTATTGGTATTGGTATTGGTATTGGTATTGGTATTGGTATTGGTATTGGTATTGGTATTGGTATTGGTATTGGTATTGGTATTGGTATTGGTATTGGTATTGGTATTGGTATTGGTATTGGTATTGGTATTGGTATTGGTATTGGTATTGGTATTGGTATTGGTATTGGTATTGGTATTGGTATTGGTATTGGTATTGGTATTGGTATTGGTATTGGTATTGGTATTGGTATTGGTATTGGTATTGGTATTGGTATTGGTATTGGTATTGGTATTGGTATTGGTATTGGTATTGGTAGGTTGAATGGTGACAGATGCGCTGCGACCTAATTAGATCTATTGTGACCCATCTGCTTCTGCTATATCAAGGATTTCTTGTTTATAGCAGCCCCTCGAGATTCAATGCCTGCAGGAATATGAGGATTTTGAGGGGGTCCAGCTGTGCGTATTTCTGCTGATAGAATTTACAGGGTGTATCTAAATAGCAACGAAAGAATTCAAGGGGTGTTTCCTTGTGACATTCTAGCAAATACATTTCATATAAACATGTGTCCTAACTTGCTTCGTTTTAGAGATACAGGATGTTGAAGTTGAAAGTATTAATTGCCTTTTTTTCATAATCCTCCTGTATAGGCTTTCATGGTGCCAAAATTCAGTATGGATGGAGACTGAGGAAGCCCCAAAATTTCAAAATGATTTCAACACCTACATAAAAATTTGGAGTCAAATCGAATTTATATTGTTCCCTCAAAAACTGAGCTAGATACAAAAATCTCACAGAGAATGAAAGAAATGTTATTTCAATAAGATAAGATCGAAACTCATAGATTGCCCCAATGGCTCCCGTTCGTTTTGGTCCCTTGCCAAAGCGGTCGGAAGAAATTTCACTAATAGTTCATTTCCACCACTGTCCAAATCCGACGGCACATTAGCAACAACATCGCAGGAGAAAGCGAATATTTTTGCAGAGATGTTCGCAGCAAACTCTACTTTAGATTCCCAAGGAAAACTGCCGCCAGACATTCCACCCGTTGAGAGTCGAATGCCCGAAATCGTCTTCCGTCAACGCACTATCAGACGAATTTTGCTTGGTCTCAAAACGAATAAGGCTAACGGTCCTGATGGAATTCCACCCATTATCCTCAAAAAATGTGCACCAGAATTAACACCGATTCTCTGCAAGTTGTTTACCATCTCTTACAGTTCGGGTATTTTTCCATCATGCTGGAAGACAGCTAGAGTCCAACCAATCCCCAAAAAAGGGAACAAGAACCTGCCCAACAACTACAGGCCCATTGCCCTGTTATCAGTAATCTCCAAAGTGATGGAGAAAGCCATCAATATTGAGCTGATCAAATATCTGGAGAGCTCAGGAATCATCAATGATAGACAATACGGCTTTCGCCACCGAAGATCTACTGGAGATCTACTTGCCTACGTCACCCATTTATGGCAATCTTCAATAGAAAAACACGGGGAATCTCTAGCTGTCGCGTTGGACATATCGAAAGCATTCGACCGTGTTTGGCACGAAGGACTCCTCCACAAACTACCATCATACGGCTTACCACCTCAGCTATGCCATCTCTTATCGAGTTTTCTTTCAGGCAGATCGCTTCACGTGGTGGTGGACGGTGTATCGTCTGATACCATTGGCATCAATTCCGGCGTTCCACAAGGATCAATTTTGGCACCAACATTATTCCTGCTTCATATCAATGATCTGTTGGGAGTAACAACTTGCCCCATCCACAGCTTTGCTGATGATAGTACCCTCCATACTGCGTTCTCTTCCAGAATTCCCATTTCTTCCCAGGAAACTAAGAACTCACGGCGCAGGCAGGTCAATGCTGTCAATGAAGATCTTGCTGAAATCACAGCCTGGGGAACGAACAACCTAGTTGAATTCAACGCCACCAAAACTCAAGCCTGCATTTTCTCTAGAAAGGCGGAACTCAGTATGCCCGATATTGAAATGTCTGGCTCCACGATCCCCACCAAGCCCACCATATCTATGCTCGGTATTTCCATCAGCAACACTCTTTCATGGGATAATCATGTCAGATCCATCGCAAAAGCTGCTTCACAAAAACTCGGATTCTTGTTCCGTGCGAAAAGCTACTTTACACCTCAACAGCTTCTCATGATCTACAAAGCGCAGATACGGCCTGTTCTAGAATACTGTTCCCACATATGGGGTTCAGCACCAAAACATACGCTGATGCTCTTAGATTCCATCCAGAGAAGAGCCATTCGCCTGGTGGGTGACGCCACACTCACTCACTCTTTGACATCATTGGAACACCGTAGAAAGGTCGGCGACCTTTCACTTTTCTATCGATATTTCCACGGGAAATGTTCTTCGGAAATCTCTGCAATCATCCCTTCACTAGCAATACCAATCAGACGAACTAGACAAGCCCAGTCAGCACATCCTTTCGTTGTCAACCTCGAAAGATGTCGAACAGCACTTTATCAAGACTCCTTCATCCATAGAACGGCTAGGCTCTGGAATTCATTGCCTGTGGAAGTATTCCCAACAACATATAATCTCCAAAAATTCAAAAAAAATTCCAATACCTACCTCCTGTCCCTATCCTCCCTAGGAACGCACGATGTTCTTTGAACATTATAGGGATTCCCTTTCGTGCGCTCCAATCGATAAAAAAAAAAAAAAAATAGTTCAATCCAATAAAAATAAGAAACTCAGAAAAACCGGATGGTGTACAATGACATTCACAATGAATATCGATAATTTTACCCACTGTGATGTCACTGGAAATATTGTTTCGAATCGAATTGCACTAGAAGAAGCTCCATACAAAACCACTACGTTTCATTAAAATTGATGGAAAAACAATTGAGAAATGAATAGAAAAAAGATTCTTCATGGAAATATTGATACCCTGTATCTCAAAAACGAGGTAAGTGAGGACACATGTTTTATGAACTCTATTTCCTGAAATATGACAAGGAATCACCCCTTCAATCTTTTCGGTGTTATTTAGATACTCCCTGTATAGTAGCAGGACTAATTATGACAGATTCCGAAAACTCAAAACAATTTTCAACGCCTACTTCACTAACTACATAGCATAATATCGTCCTATTCTTCTTGATCGATTTGTTGAAACAAATTATTTCAATATTGCAATTGGAAAAACTATTGAAACGCAAATTCAATTTCTGCAGAATAATAACAAGAACAATAATATTCGACATTTTTTCCTGGGATGAGTGTCACTATGGCGCTTTTCGCACCAAGATTTCCCATAGCTTCTTTTGATTATTGACGATACTCCGTCGATACCACCACGAGATAAAAACTTGATAGAATGAGTCATACCTGAGTCGGTAAGCCAATGCTTTTAAAATTTCTAGCGCTATAATTAGAGAGCCCCATATTGTTCGATGAAAATTGTTATACACTTTGTTCATAAAGTCACTCCTTTCCCCTAATTCAAGTTCTGAACAGCTGGGATTTTTTTTGCTTTAATGGTGGTTTCAGTGCTACATTTTGATTAAAAAAAAAAAGATTTTCTCAAATGGAGTGAGGAGTCGAAGAATACACTAATTGGAAGGTCTCTCGATCCTCTATACAACCTCAGAAATTCTGACAAAAATATTCATCGAAATCAAAATGGCGGATGATAATGTTTGAAATCTCACATCAGGATCCTCTCGACTAGATGGCTATTATTAATGTGCTCTCATGTGATAATCGACTCTCTATTGACATCTAGAAATGTCCTCTATCCATGAAGATATCAAAAAGGAGCCATTTTGAAGAAAATAACATGGTAGTCAATTATACCTTCGCTCAATTGTCTTTTAAAATTCTGCAAAATTTTGGAAATATCCATTCAAAATCAAGAACAATGCTCATTTGACCTAAATGAATAGACATTAAATGGAGACACGATTCTGAATTTCGCTCCATTCCAAATTTTCGTATCCTCGATATTTGAAATTCGAACTCTAGAATGTGCAGGAATTCCGAAATTGCCCCTTTATGTGTCAAGAAGTCAATGGTGAACATTTCGAACCTAACGTAACCTAACCTGACTTTGGATGACGCAGGCAAGTGAATCTTTAGTTGATCTTCGATGGCGAATCAATAATGACTACTGAGTTTTCCATGATACTGGCGTATCATGGTACAAATATCCAATCATGCTCGAATTCCACAGTATTTTTGTATTGATGCCATTCGGAAAACCACTTTATCGTGATATTTGTATCATGACAAGTTGATAGTAAGTATCCGAGTTGAATTGAGTCTGAATCACACCACTGAGTTGAGTGAGTAGGTAGATACAAGGACCACCCAATAATAATTCTCATTGTTTCCAGAAATGAAATGAGACAATGATCTATACACCAGTTGTCACATTTCGTTTTTCATGAAGGTTTGTGTTGAACGGGTTCAAAATATTTTATGGTTCTGACAGGAGATGGTTCTGATGTAAGATCGTCCTTCTCATCTATAACGACTGATCTACAACATATATCGAATATATATTAGTACCATTAGCAAATCGATTTCAAGATGACCAACACAGTGAAAAAAAAAATAACGCCAGTTCACACCAGCTAACACCCTTGGGTGTCTCCTGAAGTACTGATTATTTCAGTGAGAATCAACACTGATATTTTTGACAACATCATAGGGTGTCATTCGTTCTTACAAACAGTCGAACACCAGAGTGATACAATCATTTGGTGATTATTTTGACACTGTATCTGTTGAGTTTTTCCTTTTACTGATGATATGCCAATATTTTTGAATATTACTTTTTGAGTGTTATCACGCTGGGAAGCGGTGCTTTATTGTCTGCATCTGAGAGTTGAATAACACGACTCTGATATACTGACATTAGTATTCAGTGTATTAAATGACCCATTGTAGTGAGAGTTGGGACTTCACAAAACATTTCTGAGCTGATACTATTTGAAGGCTGTCGAGAGTCGAGCGTCGAAGGAGCGCTAGTGTCGTCATCTATCGAGATATTTACCCAATATTTTTCTGTGCACAAGATTTATACTTTGGTATAAAACTTTATGTTTCAATTAGGTTCGAAATAAGTACTCTATATAGCTTCGGAATTTCAGAATCATCATATATAATTGATGAATCAACTTATAAAATTTATTTAATGCATTTTTTTCACGGAATCATCCGTTCTTATTGTCACCTATCAATCTGGATAGCAGAATTCGTAGATAATGATTAACCTACACAATTTTTATACATTTTGATTGATTTTCTTTATTACCCCAAGAAACATTTCTGTTAATGATAGGGATACATGAATACATATAAAGAAAATGATGAAGGGTTATCTAATGAATTCCACTCAGTGGAAGTTATATTTCATTTCTAAGTAATCAAATCATGCCACATATTTTTCATTCAAATTGTCCTGAGCAAGTATTTTTTAAGATTGATTTCAAATCTTCTTGCATCATGTAAATTTTTCAACTCATCCGGTGATGAATTGTATAAAATAATTCCATTGTGAAAAACAGATTGTTTGCCAATGTTTGACTTGAATGTATTTGCTATCAACTAATTCAATTGTCTAGTCTCATCATAATGGACTGTATTGACTTCATTGAAAGGTAAATTTGATATTTTTCAATGAGTTCAGGTTTTTCAGGGGGTAATTTCAACATCAGCAATATTTTTTTTATCCACATGGGAAAACGCAAGACGATTGATAAATTGAATTAGCCCCAAATCTCATGATTAATACACGGTTTTGATTTATTTGTGATTGGTCAGGGTGTTACTTAGTGTTAATTTTATATAATGTGTTTATTTTTTGCCATAACTTGAATGATACCACTACCGAAAGTGATTACTTTTTGTTCTTCTGGTGTTTCTTCCGAATGGATCGTTAGAACCCCTCTAAATTACCACATCCGTGTGATCTTTCACTATGAAGGTGTGAATTGACACCACCGTACACGGTATCTTCGAATTTCTAATAATATTGATATAATATTGCTAATCAAGTGTTGATTCAATCGGAGTTATTTCTGGAATCCACTTGATCGAATTAACTTCCAAATATTTCTCACTGTGTAGTGTAACTGAAACAGGAATGGTCTGTCGTGCATCAGCTGACAAACAACCTACTGTAATCCACTATAATCTCTTAGTTCTGAGAATATCTTCAACTAGATAAAATGCTATTCAGATCATCAATTATTGGATTTTTTATTGAAATTCAAGCAAAAACGAATAAATATAATGTAATATTCAAAGTGATATGGCTCCTAGAGTGATCTTCACCATTTTCCTTCTCCTCCCCATCTTCCATCGTTCCATTTACCGTCGTCCCACCTTCCATCATCCCACCTGCCATCGTCCCACCTTCCATCATCCCATCTTCCGTCATCCCATCTCCCGTCACCAGACACTCCAACTGCGATTCCGCCAAGTCCAACTCCGCCAAGTCCAACTCTGCCGAGTCCAACTCCACCAAGCCCAGCTCCGGCGAGTCCAAGATTTCCAATGCCAACGCCAGCAACAACTGGTGCAGCCACTACAGCTGGAGCAACAGCAACAGCGACACCTCTTCCATTGTGGCCGGTTGGTCCAACAGCACCAAGTCCAGTTACAATTCCTGAAGAAAAAGAAGGACAATAAGTATTTATCATTGATTCAGTGAACTTCAATGCAATATTTATAGTTCAATCTTCTACTCCAGTTTCTAGTGGAAGATTTTGTTTGAATACCACCAACCAATGGGCCTTTCCAGTATCTCAAAATTTAATGGAGGTCAAAAACATTATGCTGACAACAAATGAATAATTTAATATTGAAAATTCTATTTCAATATCTGTGAATTCTAACGCTACTGAGCTGATGTGAAGTCAGTGTCTCCTTGCAATTAGATTGGTTGAAGTTTGTGACGTCTGGGAAGCACACCACTGTTGCCAGCAGGTCTCTAAATAAAATCGTTGAGCTGATCTTATGCGCAAGATGGTGCGGGGAATACCACGATTCAAACTTACTTTGTACTAGGTGATGAGTTGATTTGTATTTCACAAGTGATCACATTCAATTTACTATGAGCTTTGAAATATTTCATTACTTTCACGATAAGCTAGGATAAAATGTCTTGCAGGCATCTTACTATAAGACGCTTTTCATATGGTTTGGTTTGGTTCGAGTAACGATGTTAGGATTTCATTGACCAATTGGAAAAATTAACAAATTGAACAGTGTTACTATATCTCAAGTACTCATTCCCCAAAAATGTTATTGCTAATGCAGCAACTATGTTGATGTCACAGGCGCTTACACAATGTTATCAAGTTGGAATACTAATTCTCCGCATAACTTCACTGGTCTCATTTATCATGATTATTGAAAAGAAGACAGTGATGCTTGTTCTGAAATCCATAAACACATTTCTCGGCCATGTCTAATCGTTTGACTTCGTCCTTATTAGAATCAAAAGTGACACTTTGTTTGACAAGCGAATGTTTGCGAGTCAAACAGAGTCACTTTTGATCCGAATGCTATTTTTCCTGCGATCAAAATAATTGATATTCAATTAATTAATTATATGGGTGAAGTAATATTTCAACTCACATGAGCATATGCCATTGTCAAAGCAGAGCTGTTATCTGATACACTTCAATTCCCTAGGAGTTAAACTCCAACTTAAGCTCCTAGACACTAAAAGTGTTGCCAAGCAACTACATACTGATCAATTTATTGAGTCAGCAAGAGAAACGTCAACTTCAAGACCTAATTTTGGAACAAAAATGAATGATTTTTGAGTCGATTGCAGAAAAAATGGTTTCAGAGTATTCCAGACCCATATATTCCGATGGGTTGTATTTCTAGAAATGATTGGAAAGGCTTATCGACCTATAATCATGGAAGTATAATAGTTTCGAGTAATTCATGACCCATTTTTATACCTGATGGTCCTCTAGCTCCAGCACCATTCACGACTCCAGAAGGTCCAGCAGCTCCGGCTCCAGTAACAACTCCTGACGGACCGATATCACCAGCAGGCCATGGTTTGACTGCTACAGCGATAGCTTTGCCGCCCCATCCACCTACACCACCCCATCCACCTGCACCACCCCATCCACCAAGACCCAGTCCATTGACACGGCCCAATCCCAATCCACCGATGTTGCCCAATCCACCTACTCCCACACCTACGGCTCCCAACTCCCCGATGCCTCCCCAACCGCCAGCGTGGGCGCTGATGGCGAATGCGGCAAAGAGCGATATGTACTGAAAAACAAAAAACATTTAGCGCATGAAACAACTCGGTTGATGATAGTATCTCTGCAAATATCAAATCTCTGGACGCCTTCTGGCCCCCAGTACATGATTGATCGGCAGATTGGTGGACATGGCCAAGCTACACTGGTCAAACGTTCGCCCATTGTATGGCATATTGTAGTCTTTTGCCTATAATTCATCCGGCACTGGGCCAATAGTGTCAATTTTTATTATGATTTCACCTATGTCACCTACGTCTACTCATTATATATATTTTTCATGTTCTGGTTCTCACGAAAAGGGGTATCCTGTGATGTTCAGACAACATCGTGAGAACCACGGGAAATAAGGTAGGAATTGGTGTTCTTCTTGAATTTCTGGATGTTATATATGCCTTGGGGAACACCTCCCGTGGCAATGTGTTCCAGAGCCCCGCTGTTCGTTTAATGAACGAGTCTGTGGAAAGAGATGTTCTGCAGGTCTCCAAGGAAAAAATGTGCAAAAGATAGTCAACACTTGGTGGAAGATGAAACAACAAATCGACGGAGTCAACAAACAGAAACCAGCCGCACAATTATTATTGTGGTTTGGGTCGCATGTCACGCAGGGTCTTGTTTCTTGAAAAGTGTAATATAGATTCAAAGAAACTGTTTGGGCTAATTCATGAAACTAACACTAGAAATGTATATAGATCATGATTATGAATATCTTCATTGCCGATGATGGTACCTCAGAACAAAAAAGTAGGTATAATTGTGAACTCTGGATTCCTTCTATAGATACTGTAGGTACAGTTTTCGAATTCGAAATATTTCTTGAATCAAATGAATACTCCAGATGAATTATCTTCTACATTAGATTGATTAACTGTATGGGTTGTCCAAATTGGACAGTTTTAAGGAGAAAAGTCCTATTCACGAACTAGATAGAAGTAAACTGATATAGATGCCTGAGGGTTCAAATCATGATCGACAAATTCAATGGTGAAAACCGCTTTCTCGATATATATATCTCCGTATTAGAAATAAGATGTTTTTAGAAAATGTCCATTTTTGAAAAGCGGCAAGTAATAATGTTATTAAAAAGTTTGTTATCCTCGTGGAAACATTTTCAGAGCATTGAGTTTGTGACAAAAGTTGATCACCAGGTACTGAAATCAGTCTTCCTATAATTACAAATAGTTCAATATCATAGCTTACTCTTGTTTGAGTAGTATCATTTCCGAACTAGATATACCCAAACGATGAATGATTCCAATGTCTGACGATCACTTTACATGACAAGAACAATGCTTTGGAGATGTTTGCATCAAAAATAGTTATTTGTTTAACTAGGCAGCAAAGTAGTAGATTGACTGCCGAGGCTGAATTCATAGCCGAGCGTAGCGAGGCTAGTATTTCAGCTAAGGCAGTCAAACTACTTTGCTGCCGAGTTGAACATATTCTTTTTTCTCCGATTGTTCATAATGATATAGGAGGATATTGTTTCTGCAAATTATTACAATTCCCACAATCCCTTTATTTCTCCTGTAGTGTCCAATTCAAATAAAATTTGATTGAAATCGCAGTTGTTGGAATCGTTGGTTGCTATGGAAATGTCCATAATAATTGTAGTTTGACAATTCATGAAATTTCTGACAGTTGTGCGAAAAAATATCGGTATATTTAAATTATTATATAATGGACAGTGACAGCGACCTGAAAGTACCTACTCCTCCAGAAATAAGGGAGGTGGCAAAAAATATAGAGTTGAATTTGTTGCCGGAGAAGTCTCGGATGAAATATGAAGGAAATTATAAACGATTTATGGATTATTAATTATGCTGACATATGTCAATCAGCAAAGTACCCACTTTGCTGCCTAGGCAGGAAAAGTAATACTTTGCTGATTGATATGTGTCAGCAAACTTAATATTTGATGCTAATCGGAGAAAAACAATTTTTACAAACTTCAAAAAATGACAAGGTTCGCGCATTGATAACAAATTGCGAAGTGACACTTTTTTCAGTTTCCTACATCACCATGATACCTTGAACAGAACAATGCGCGAAGTAAAACAGTGCACGAAGTATACCTACCTCGAGCATTGTTATGTGAAATATACGAGTTATTTGTATTTCAACTTCATGGTCCTCAATCGAGCAAACATCCACGAAATCATTTATTCCTGAATTCTCAACAATAACTCTGTTTTATCTCTTGGAGCGCACGAAAGGAAATTACTATTATGTTCGTGGAACATCGTGCGTATACCTAGGGCACAGATTGGGGGGAGGCCTTTCAAGCCAGTTCAACACTATTTTTTATATCAAGCTAAGCATACTTTTTCTTCAGAAGTATATTTTATGACGTTTGTAGAAAACATTGTTTGCAACTCGAGCGCGAAATATACTCTGGTGATCGAGATCTGATTTTTTTAACGAGGCGCCGTGGCCGCTTTCTAGAAACAAAAATAACTAATTTTGAGTTGAAAAATCACCGAATCTAGCAATATTGCTCCATTTTGACAGCTCTACTTATATCAACAAATTATATCTGAATCAGTAATTGCAACTTCGAATCTGCGTATTCATCCTATTGATTATTGACTTTATCTCTTGAGGTCCTCATGCTCTTTGAATAATTATTTATCATTCATATAACGAGCGAGCTGAATATATTATGTACCTATTATAGAATACCTAATACGTTATATTCTTTTGATCTTGTTCTATGAAGAATGCTACTCACCAGGCAGTTCATGCTGTTGGTTGTTGTCTTTGGCGAAGTGTTATGATTAATATATCGAAATGAAGGTTTAGTTCGATTTATATATAATCAGCTAGACCTTCAAAGTAACAAGGAATATCTATATTGGTCACAAAGTGGTGCATTTCGTAAGACCAACCCATTTCAATCACATGCACCGAGTATCCAGGAAACAAATAGAATTTCATGGTGAAATGTAATGGTATTCAAAAGTTTTATTTTGTGTAACTTGTACCTGTTTGTACCAATACTATAATCGATTTGATTATTTCATCATCACGGTAGGATTGCAAAGTTGAGGACAAAAATACAAATTCCAATAGTGAGAAATTGGTTGTAGCTTCTCAAAATTTCTGAAAATAAATTAACAGGCAATAGTACCAAGGACAAGAATATTCTCATTATGTTGATTTCGAATATACAGTTCGTCCAAGATGAGGTTGCATAGCATGGGCATGTCGGAAAAGGTAGGAGATACGAAGTCGTTTAAAAGGAAAAAAAGTTGCGCATTCGGAGGCTCAAACCAACAACCTTCGAAAATTCCCAGAATTGTCTTCAGTTTCTCAGTTATATCGAAAAAAGTGAATTTTTTGAATATCTATTTCATTTTATTTTTCATCATCATAAGAGATACAAAAATACTGAAAATACTTTTGCACAGCAACTTTCGAAGACGTTGAACGTGGTGATACCGATTTCCTCATGCGACGTTTCGTATTCGTAGAACCCCATCATCAACTTTTTTTTTAATACCGTTCTAATATGTTTTTCATAGATTCTGAAAGCTTTTTTATTCTGAATTCGACCATGTATTGAACAAGGTAATTTGAATGTGTTTCGACCTATTTCTATCCATCATCAATATTTTTTCGAAATTCTAAAGAAAAAATGCCATCAGTTCCACTCATCTCTTATCATCTAGTATCAAACATTGATGGATTAGTAATTCAATAGGTATACTAAAAAGTAAATAAAAATCATTTCACTAAATTATGTAGCATGTCAGCATATCGTTTTTTTCGTCATTTGGGAAGTTTTTCATTATTTAACATCTACATAGAATATGTAGTAACACGACTAATCATGACTGATTCCGAAAACTCAAAACGAAGCCTACTTTACTAAGTACATAATATAAGGACGAAACGTGAAGGATGAAAACTGTTCTTTATTTTTCGTCAAAACATTGTATTCACAGTATACCTTGTCTTTGTGAAAAGTATTATACAGGTGGAACCAAAAGACCTCTTTCAGTAAGGACGAAGAAACATAAGTACAATATGAAGAAAAGACACATCGACAAATCGAAACTAGCTGAACATATCCTTACTGTGGATGGTCAACATAATATGGTAAAGTGAAATAATATTGAAATCATTGGAAAAGAAGAGAAAAATCAAGGAATCTAAAATTGTTCTAAAATTGTTCTATCCGTCATTCGGTTGCCCCCTTACGAGCAACCCTCAGAAGTCTTCGAAAGTCTTGTGCGAGCAAGGAATGACGGGGGCCTTACCTTCTAACGTTTGATCCCAAACACTTTCTTAGGCCATCAGAAAAAGTCTGCGTTCGTGGGACTCGAACCCACGATCGATACCTCGACGTGAATCGATATTGAATCATCGAAGCACTGAGGTACGCCTGCTTGCATTCTTCTGAACGGAGATAATAGCATTACTTCCGGTTAAGTTGATATAGATAAAGAATATGGTAGTCACTACTCAAATCTGAAAATAGGAATGATTAATTCAAGATAAATAAATGAAAACATCCTGTAACTCATTTGGTTGCCAATGTCACCAATTGTCACTGAGAACTGAAAAGTTCAAAGACAAATTCGAATTTGCTATTAAAATTGTAATGAAGTGTTTTTGACCAGCTTCATTACTAGACTGGTTTTGATCAAAATCTAAGTACCTGAGCCTGATTCTAGTTGAATTTCACCTGTTCGAAAGCTCGAAACCTGAAAACCTGAGAGAGCTGAGTAATGCATTGATTCCTGACTTCCCACAGCTTTTCCTGATAGTAAAAGCTGATGAACATCATTACAACCCTAAAGACTTCAATATTTTTCAACCCTTTGCTTATGATATGAAATTTGATTGAATTATTTATCAGTTGAAATGATGAATGTTTAAATGCTCATAACTTTGTTGTTATTGAATATTTTCCAGCCAAATTCATTCAGTAGCATAAGCAAAGGTAGTAGATCCTGTTCCTGTGCCCATTTAGGGTGTAATATTATTTTTTCCGCGTTTTGTGTTGGAGGTGCGCATGTGCTTTTCAAGGACAGATTTAGTGGCCATGGCCATGAACCATGACAAGGTGGGAGTTTTGACCAATGAGATTCCAGATTTACTTGTCCTTGTGCCAAGGCCAAAGCAGTGCATAAATACTGAAGACAGCCAAGGATTCGACACTCTCTAAGCTCTTCTCAACAAGTCTACACTACCTGATCTCCGTTGCTCTTCAAGCGCCTGATTCTCTTGCTGATCTTTTAGTGCTCTCACAGTTCATTCAGAACCAGTGTAAAATAGTATTGTATAGTGATTTCCTGTTACACATGTAAGTTTGTATATTTTTCACCAGTGTTATTCATCCTGTTTATAGCCTCATTTCATTCCTGTTGTTTTTCACACCGATACTCACCCGACCTGTGTAAAGAATCCAGAACTCTAAATTGAATAAACGGATTTTGTGATTGCATATTTCATATTTCCTTCTCTGTTGTCATTGTTTTCAGTTCCAAATAGTTCAATAATTTATTTAGTGATTTTCAATATTTTCATTTGTCAAAATTGCAGAATATTATTATTGACTGACGACTGACACTGACAAGGCAGTTAACAACTCTTCTTCTTCTTTTCCTTGAGCAATCCAGTCCTGTGCACCGGTGTCTCTGTGCTTTGTATCCCGTCAGGCGGTGTTCTATGTTTCATGAACTATTGACATTAATGGAAAAATATAATTAATTAACCTCACTAAAAATCCGATATTAGAAAATTAGAAAAATCGAAGGGAAAGGAAAGATAACTAGAAATTGAATCTGTTTAATTCGTTTAGAACTGTGTTTCCGATTCTCCAGATAGAAATGATGAAATAGTTGAATAAATAATTTTCCAGACCTAACCTTAAAACACCAGAGAGTCCCGAAAGATAGTTGTTTTGATTCCTGTACTTATCCAGACCAGAAATAGCAACCAGTATTCCAGGCTAGACCCAGGGTTTGTAATTAAAGCCTACACTCCCTGGGCTACTTATTGATTCCAGGTCGATTCAATACCATTGACCCCTGGATTATACTGTGGGTACCGAGGTAGGTATACCTCCTGTACCTTTCTCCACTGTTGCTACTGTGGGCCTCCTTCCCGACTAAGTTGGGAGGAGCAGGTGAAGTAAATCACCTTTATCAAAAATCTGGCGCTCGAGAATCCCCCCTGTCAAATACCAGAGTAGTCTCCTGTCCTGAACAGAGTGTCAAAGTAAGGGCCGCAGAATAAAGACTCTTACAAATGGCGCCCGAGCAGGGACTTCTTGGTTATTGAATCAGAAAATAGTCCAGTCCTGTTCAACAGAAAAGTTGCTTGATACAAGTCCAGTACATTTTTTTTTCTGAACCAGTATTTCATTGTTTGGAATCAGAATCATAGCATTTTCAGAAAAGTACCTGTATAGTTTGTTTTTTGAGAGTTGATTATAAATTTGAACCTGATTTTTGTAGAGAACAGTTCCAGTCAACTTGAGCTATAAATGAAATCAAAATCCAGATATCCAGAAGTTATTTGTTGAGTCTAGGTATATGTTTTTTTTTTGTCATGAGAGTCACTAAATTTTGAGACAGCAAGAGAGCCAAATCCGTTAATTTCCGAATACAGTTCATCCTGATAATCATCCTGACATTCCAGCTCATTTAACCAGTGGAATAAAATGTTAGGCCCTGATATAGTTGATGATATATGTAAAGGTTGTGAGAACCTCCAAAAATCGAGGAATCCAGGTCCAGAGAGCTACCGAGAGCACATATCAGGTTTGAACCCAAGAGTGAGTTGGATATATAACCTGAACAAATCCGAATTAATCAGAGAACTGAGAAGGTATGGTCTAAAAACTGAAGGTCCTGTGGAGATGCTACAAAACCGATTGATGTGGTTCCTGAGGGTGGAAGTGCCTGAAATATTAGCCCTCAGACCTGAGAATCTTGTGAGGAAACCGCCTCCAGATTCACCAGATATTCCTGAACCACATGAGCCTCCAGATAGTCCTGAACCAACTCCAGGTAGTCCAGAAACACATCCGGATGATCCGGAAACAACTCTAGAGAGTCCTGACATACCTCCTGATAGTCCTGAAATTCCTGTCCTGTGTTATTCTAGTGGATTGAACACCTATCACTGGAATTTGCAATTTGATGGAACAACAGATCCTGTAGATTTTCTGGAAAGACTAGAAGAGATGGGAAACGTGCAGAAAGTAGAACCAGACCAGCTCTTGGATGTATTACCTGACCTGTTAAAAGGAAGAGTTCTGTTATGGTACCGCTGTAATAAAGGAAACTGGAATTCCTGGCCAGCTTTCAAAGAATGTTTCCAGGTAGCATACTTTCCGTTTCGATATCATGAACAGCTCCAGATTGATATCATCCAGAGGAAACAGACAGTGGAAGAACCAGCTAGAGATTATGTGATAGACATGCAGACACTAATCCGAAGACAAGGCACTCTTGATAAAGCACAAGAATTGACTTGGCTATACCGGAATTTACTGCCAGACTACCGCCTGTATATCAGAAAGACTGATTTCCAGGATGTACCATCACTTATCTCAAGAATTCTAGAATATGAGAGCCTGAGAAGTGAGATATATCAAACCTACCAGGGTTATCACTACCTGCCACCACCCTCACCTGTGTCATTTTGTCCAGAACCGATTAGGTATGAAGAACCTAGTTCCAGGACATTTACCCAGAAGAGAAGACAAAATATAGGACTTCGAAACAGTGAGACTGTTTGTTGGAGATGTGGAC